ACGACACCACGCCGGTGGTGGGGAGGCAGGGGGGGATTCCCCTTCCTCGCGCCGCCGCGGGCGCCTTTCCCCCGCCTCTTCCCCTTCCCGGACCCGTGAGGACGCCCGCCCCTCCGTGAATCTCCTCAGCAACGTCGCCGATATCTACGAGTGGGAAGTGTGGCCGGATGACTTTTTGATTCTCGCCTCGGATGGGGTCTGGGATCGGATGAACTCCGACGAGGCGGTGGCTTTCGTCGCGCAGGACCTTCGCCGTCTTCTCCGCGAGGAGGCCGCTGCGGATGGCGGGATCGATCGTTCACCGCCTTTTAAGGTCACCCCCACCAAGGGGATCGCGGGGGAGGAGACTACACGGCCGCGTTTGATCCTCCAACGCGCGGCCGATCACCTCGTCGAGCACGTCCTCCGCGTGCGAAATGGCGGGGATAACGTCACGGTGATTATCCTGCTGTTTTCTGTTTCGGACGAATTCACCCAGGAAGGATCCATGGAGGGGTTCGATCCCGAACAGTGCTAACCTATGATGCCGCCACTTTATTCCTCGTTAGTATGATGAGGAGGATCACTATTATTATGATGTTTGAATATACACGATTTTCCGATTTCATTCTTTCAGGGAATACGGAAGCATATTTTTTTTTCCATTGCCATTGCTTTATAACCAATTAATCCTTTGCGATTGTTTCTGTTTCTTTCTAGAATATTTTATCACTTATCCGATTTCGCTTGCCAGGGCTTTGTTTACTCGAACCGATCACTCAGGTTTTCCTCATTACTGAGTGGATTGTCAATCTTATTCCTTTCGGACCCTTTCTTTGGATCTCGAATGAAAGTCAAGGTCAATAAAGCAAGCCGGCTAGGAAGAAAAGACCTTATTGGTATTTATGAATATAGATATAGATCGTTCCAATCGTCTTATTCGTGTTGTAGTTTACCTTTTCATTTTTAGGTCCTCGGTGGTTCTTTTTGCCTGATTTGATCTCGCTATTCATGGTCTCGACACCTGGTATTCTAGAAAAGGGCCTCTCCATTTTCCCTTTATTGGCATCGTTTTCCTTCCTTACCGTGGTGGTTTTCTTTGCTAGCTTCGCGTTCGGCGTGCTTTTCGGGCTCCTCCTGTGCGGAACGATGCCGAACCTCTTCTCCGCGGCGATTCGTCCGTACCTTCGGAGTCTTTGGAGCGGGTTCCCCGCGATGACGGCGGCCGAGGACGTCAAGATGATCCTTGTGGTGCGGAAGGATTTGAAAATGGGAACGGGCAAAATCGCGGCGCAGTGCGCGCACGCCGGGGTCGCGGTGGTGGAGGAGGTGTTGTGTTTAAAATCCGCCTATCAACGCCCGATCCACGGCGACGCCGGCGACCCCGCGGCGGCGAACCTCGCGACGGATCTGCACCCGTGGATTCGCTGGCATGACACCTGGCGGGTGAGTGGGAGTACGAAGGTGGTGCTGCAATGCCCGGATGAGGCCGCCCTCCAGCGCGTCGCCGCCCGGGCGAGGGAAAAGCGGCTGCCGTATTACATCGTTCGCGATGCCGGCCGCACGCAGGTGGCAGCGGGGAGTAAAACCGTCGTGGCGGTCGGCCCGGGCCCTCGATTTTTGGTCGATCAGGTCACGGGGGATCTAAAACTTCTATAAAATGGATACTAATCGAGAAAAAAAAAGGGAAGATCACGCTCGCGGAGGCAAGTCCTACAGGCTAAGATTTTTTTTTCACTTTGTTTAATCGTGGATCGATGTTTCGTCAGGATTGGCGTGTATTCTCTTCTATTTTGGTGTGTATCATGTGCATTACGCTCTAGTTTTTTTTTCTTTCCAAAAGGAAAGGGCTTTTCGGCAAATTCACTTCATAGAGGAAAGACAAACAACGCCATTTTGGCGGAGGTTTAATTATTCATGGCGCAAAATCTTTTCGTGGCGGAAGGCGTTGAAATCCTGCGGCAGTGCGAGACCGAAGAACACGAGTTGGATCAGATAAGATCGCGAATCAAAGGCGGCAGGGGTAGTGGAGAGAGGCTTGTTTTTATCGCCCAAAGATACCACAAACTGCTACAAAACTGTGTTCAAGGGATGGAAATTCTAAACCACGTCCGACATACCGCACTTGACGAAGCGAATACACAACATAACCCTAATAGTCGAAAGTTGAGTGAATTTTGTTCTCAAAAAATCCTGGAATTCCTGAAACGATGCAAAACGATCACCAACACGCTCGATAGCCTTTCCTTTCCTCTCAGCCATGTGGAGGCGGTGAGGCTCGAGGGGTACGTTTTGGAGCGCCCCCTTTTGGTTCATGAGGGCAAACGCTACCCCCTCAAAGGATCAGAAAAAATGATCGCGAGGGAGTTTCACCTCTCCGATGGCACCTACCTCATAATAATTAAAAACCTCGACGATTACACCTTCGCACCGCCGGACGTGCACGTGGAGCTCGCCCTCAGTCTTCCAAGCGAGGTGGATTCGGAAATGTGGAAATTCAACTTCACCCTCAGTTGCGGTTGTGCGTGGCGGAAGTCGGTTGGGGTGGTGGGTTTGGATACGCTGCTCACGGTGAAGATACGCTCCTCCGGGATGCGCGAATCGCATATCGATTTTCGGCTGGAAAAGTGGAAACCGGCGGAACAAGGGCCCACCGCCCCGACGGGAGCTCCTCTTTCTGCGATGAATCTCCCAGAAACTGGAAAAGATGAAGGGAAAGGCGGAGGAGAGGGTGGAAAACGGGCTGAGGAAGCGTCGGAGGTCCTCGGGAAGTCTCCTTCCAAGGAAATATCAGGGAATCGTTGGATAGAGGAGCTTCCCCCGCTCCCCGATAACGAATTGGAAGCGTTGGCGGCTTTTAACGTGCCTCAGGCGGAGCTCCCCCCGCGTGGTGGCGTTCCCTCCGCGCCTCCCTTGGATCCTTCTCTGTCTTCTTCTTCTTTGGCCCCTTTGACGCCGCCCTCCAGGGCGCAAAATCCGTGGGCGATGTTGGAAAAATTGAGCGTTCCGCATGGAGAGAAGGGGGTGGCGACGGAGGTGCCCGCTCCGGTGGAAGTTCGCCCGCGCGGGCGGACTTGTCGGGAGCGGATGCGGCTGCTTCGCGGGATGTTAAACGCGTGGCCGTCGGAAGGGGTGACGAGGGGGAACCTCCCGACGAGCAGCCAGCGGCTGTTGAACGCGGTTTACACGCTTCCCCTCCCGACAGAGATTGAGTGAAGAAAAAGGGGAGAGAATGCGGGGGGGGGGGGTTTATCTTCCACGAACTCATCCTTCGATGCCTTCAGAATGTAGGCGTTGTTTGCACGGTTAACTTCCCCTTTTATTTTTATGGAATTATTTCTGAATCAAGTGTGTTTTCTTCAGTAGGGGAATGAGGGAGAATGGAAGGGAAAACGTTGTGTTATGACAAACCTATACACTGTTAATGGAGATGTTGCTTTGAACGTTCACTACCCCAACCCCATGGGCATTTGAACCCAAAAAGAAAACGGTGCCTAAAGTGGTGAGGGAAGCACCCACCGGCGATGTTATTTTTCCCAATCCACGAATTTTTCGATTGTGTTATGCGTTTGAACCCTTTTATCACCGGATGCTGACATTTCATCCATCCCGCGAGACGGGTAGGGGTGTGTCAGGGGGCGATGGGTTTCGTAAGCGCGCGCCCACCTCACGGGTCGGGCGCCATTGCTTCGCATGGAGCCTCCGCCTTGTGCGGGGTGGGGTGTTCGCGCTGTATGGGAACCCCCTCCCTTCTTTGCAATGCCTCTTTCATTTTTTTTCCCTCCCCCCATCCTTTTCCCTCTGGCGGCGAT